ACGTATTTCGGACAGTATGCTTCTCTTCAAGCCAGTTTTTCCCTACCGAAAATACCATGGATGCAATTGTTGCCTGCCCCAGGGCAACAAAGCGGAAGACCATGTCTTATGAAAACATCTAGACTCAGGCGTAGTCGAACACCTACAAAGACATGATCAGATCCATTCACCCCGTCAGACATAGCAGTATACATTGCGCGAAATTAGTTACCTGCCTAATCCAGGGTGTTCGGACAAGTAAGTGATAAAATTGGTTTGGGGTATAATCAGAAATGTAGTAGTAGGCAACTGGATGACAGATCACAAAAACTTCTGGTCTTTGTGAAGATTTTCCACCGTGTAGTGTCCACGGAATCGCCTTGGAGGTGCGTCGCGAATAACTGTACTTGTAACACACTCTACCGAAATGGCCGGGCAACGCAATAAGAAATATAGTTGGCTGTCGTTAATTGTTGCCTGCATAAATGCGCTTTTGAAACATCATTCGGTGATAGGGCGCAAGGTGAAACAAGTCTTAGGATGATACGAGCACCAAATAGACGCATAGATGTCGCCCCCGACGATACTGGTTCATAGAGCGCGCGGCAAGAGGTGGCTTGATACTTCAGGGTGAATTGGACCCGACATCGACAAGATTTGCCATTGAAACCGCTGCGGATGTGGGGAACTTCTCGGTGGGTAATACCTTAATACCGTCTTAATCGTGATTTTGGGAGAGCAACTCAGATCAACAGGTGAATTCTGCACTTAGTCAAACCAAGGCCACCATGGTTAGGCCGGGCGCTGTCGACAGCAGAAATATTATTACGCTCCCTCAAATCTACCGCCAGTCGGTGTTCAGAGAGAGCAGTCCACACTTTATACAGATGCCCTGCAACACAGTGTCAGTTTAGTAAGTCATGAGGAATGCTATCACAAGAATACGTCGCAAAATCAATTACAATAAGTAGAAGACAAGTATACCGTCGACATTTAGGGTCAGAAGAAAAATAAGCCGATGACACTTACTCCTTCCTTTTCTAAGTCTGCCGAGTTTGCCAGTATGGCACTGACACGAGCACGAAGCTTATCAATCTCCTTGATCTGAGCGTCAATATCGGATAGCGAATGTTGCTCAACTTTTTCCAACACTTGAAGACTACGCTGTTGTACATCGTGGATTTGTGACACGAGCACTTCATGCAAATCCTCTAACTGTTTAACGATTTCTTGTTTGAAGTCAAACATTTTTGACAGCGCCTTGTTTATTCTATCCTCGACTGATTCTATATTTTGTCCAAGTTCCGTATTGAAAACATCACATAGCATTGCTATTTGTTGCTTCAGCTAGAAACAGAGAAGGGAAAAGGGATGATTTTTACAAGACCTATACTAGGTTACAAAACGTAAAAGTAAAAGGAATTTTTGATAATTATTCAAATGCCAAAAATATCGAATTGCCTCGGGCTGTGAGGCCGTCAAAGGGTTACGAGTATTAAGTTAAAGTAGATCCCGTTTCTGTACAGAGCAAATGGTCAAACGATGAGCCGAGCGACAAACGCTCTGGGAGCCATGTAGCTGCTATAGGGACAGAGTAAGGAGGATATCGTCACCTAAAGCGATGCTGTCTATAATATTCTTCCAACACTTCAAGACATCTACTGACACGTCAGAAAATCTAAATCTTCATGGTGATCCATGTGCAGCAGTCTGGTCAAAAGTTTTTTTTAATATTTATTAACGCTCAGTTGTATGCGGAAGATAAACAAAAACAGAACGATTCCTACGACTGTTTGCCTTAGCTCCAACGTCGTCAGGATGTCGCAGAGCATCCAAGAAAGATGGCATGGGCACGTTTTTGTGAGATGTACCATGAGTCCAATACTTCATACTGCCCTAAATCAACAGCACTTGCGTTCGTAACATCGAATGTTCGTCCTTTAGTATACAGTTTCGTCTCAGCAACAAATACAAGGACAAAAATTACTTATTGAGGCGTTTTTCCCTATATTAACTAGGACAATCGTACTGTGGTAATCACATTTCTCTTACCAAATGACTCCGCCCGACTGAAGTCAGTGGCTACCTTTTGGGGGTCCGCATCGGACTCTACACTTCAACAGCTTATGCCCAATGCAAAGCCTAGATTTTCTCAAATGTACACTAGAACTTTCGCTTTCTTAGATCTAAACTAGACTTTTTATATTCTCTTGGACCTGTCAAGCGGTAAGAATAAAGCCAGTTGGTTCGATGCTGCGAAAGTCCAACTCGTGTGTTAACCATTAAGCCTCAGTCCAGATGATTTACCAATTTGTTTCTGCTTACTCCGAAAGGACTGAACTCAGGTCTGATTTAGCTGACCTTCCTTAAGTCATACAAAGAACCTCTCAGTGTTACGGTATGTGACAGTGGATATAATAAATTCCGTACTTGTTTGGCGTTGAGTATTGAATAGCCAGGGGCTAACAATAATCTTGGTGGCATGGCTGACAGTGTATAGCGGCCTTATTGTTTTTCTACTTTTCTGCGAGCGGTTGATTTAGAGCAGTAGTACTGGACTCATGGTACATCTGAAAAAAAAACGTGCCCATGCCGTCTTTCGATGCAGACCCCTGAAAGGTAGACACTGACTTCAGTTGGGCAGAGTCATTTGGTAACAGAAGCGTGATTACCATAGTAAGAGTATCCCAGTTAATATAGGGAAAACAAAAAACTCTCAATAGGTAATTTTGACCGTGTCGAAACTGTGTACTAAATTACGAACATTTGATGTCACGAGCGCAAGTGCGCTGTGAAGAAGAGGCTGTGTGTCAGTTAGAGTAAAAAAGTCCGAACCGTTGCAGAGGAGAGAAAAACAAAAGGAGGGCAGGAGAGAAACTCGATCATGGTGGATGGACACCGGGGTTGGAGGATAAAAGAAAGAAGCGTAGATGGAGGGAACGATATAAAAAACATGTTAGCAATCAAGAGTCAGAAGGAAAAAATATGATCAATAAAAATCGTGGATTGAAGACCAATTCGATCCATACGTACCATTCTCAAGTTGAGTATCTTTTTATTCTCGGACAAAGATGAAATCATCAATTGTATCACAAAGCTAGGACAACCTTGCATTTCAATAAGAAATGGGTATGAAACGTGA